ACTATATTACACTTTTCCCTAAGATATCTGTCACAGGGTACAAAGACTACCAGGAAGGCCAACGCCAGTCCATAGACTGGAAGACTTTCTCTGCCAGCGGCGCCATCGACTTCGTCAGGTGATCTATCTCCGCCGGAGTTCTCCGAGAACAAGAAAACCCTTCGTGGAGGAACTCGAGGTGCAGTTGTGGACGATGATCTCGTATGCAAGCCAACACGTGCCCTCCGGCATATCGGCTCGATCGACGGCACTCCTGCTTCAGGGCTTCGTCAATACGTTTGCCGACGCCTTTGAGCTGGGTACAGGACCCATTTAGCCACGAGATGTATCCGGCCGCCGACTCCTCGGGATCCCCACGGGGTACTCGGAGCTCTCTACAAACTCTTGTCATGGACGTGCAGCAACTCTTCAAGTACGAGTTGAACCACACCTCACAACCTCAGAGTGTTTCCACGGCCTGCTCCTTCTTCACTTCCAGCATAGTCCTCTCGAGTTCCGCTACCGCAAATTTCGTCTTCCAATATTGGATACGACGATCTTGGTCAGCAAGCGCACTCTCGAGATCTGCTCAGCATGGAAACGACTAAGTCAAGCTGCTCTTCTCTTCCGAGAACACAACAAATCAAGTCGGAGGAGTAAAGGAGATGAAAACAAAGACCACCAACCTAAGGAAGTCGTCGCCATCCCCGTTTCCACGGGTAAATTCTGATCTACATCGTCCGGCGACACATGTGGCTCGAACGCAAGTGCCGGAACAATCACAGGTGACTCAGGCTGCCCACGCTGCTGGACATCCTTGACATCGACATCTCTACAAACGACAACAAAGTACTCAGGATCAAAATGCTAATGAAAACTAAGGTGATGACTGCACACACAAAGGCAGTTGAAGCCAACAGAAGTTTTACAAAGCATGATTGATTAAAGGGTATAAGGGAGCCGAAGTCCTACTCTTCAAAAAGAGGGAGAACAGACTCTCCCAGATCGCCGACTTATTCCATCACGCCCTTACGCGCGTCGTTAGTCGCTCCCTGATCCAAGATCCGCTGGAGATCAAGTTCAGGGTGCGCCAACCTTACGCACGCGAGGACGTGACACACCCCGGTGTAAATCCCGTTGGACGCCTTCTCTCTGATCCTGGCCGCATGCTTTGACGGTATCGCCTCCATCGCCGTGGCCAGTTCCGCGAGTGAAGACGTCAGTGAGAACTCGTCAGGGTTCACCGGGATGGTGGTCGTAACACCACATTCCCCGGCGAACTGGTGTAGGCCGGTGTAGGTGACACGCAACGAGCCACGGATCTCCGACAGGTTGTTCTCGAGTTCCGACATGCGGTCCTCGAGTCCCCGCTGTTGTCGCTCGTTGCCAGCCACTAGTTCCCTCATCTTCTGGAGGTCCTCACGAACCTCCGCCAGGTCACGCGCCAGCTTGTCGGCACGCTCGTTTGCCACCGCCGCCGCCGTTGTCCTCCCCTCCGCAATCTCGCGACTTATGCCGCGAGCACCAGCCTCGAGGAGGCGCCCCATCTCGACTTGGAGCTCCCCCCAGGTGAGGACGTCAGCAGGCGGGCCGCGAGCAGGCCCGAGATCATTGGCTGGGCCGCTGGGCGTCACCTCACGGTTCCTCAGCACGACCACGACATCGGTCGAGGCCACCGCAGGAGACGCGCTGGAGTTCCCTCCGGACCCGTCTTGCGCCGCCTTCGCCCGCGCCGACCTACAGAAGATTATTATATCTGGACCTCAAGACAAGTCGCCAGAATTCGACCAAGCGAAGGACCTCAAATTTCGTCCACTTACTTCTCGCCTAGTGTCACCAGCTTCTGCCGTCGTGGAGGTGGCGGAGACGCATCCAAGGCCTAAGTAAACCGAGTACGACTTGAGGGGGACATCTTCCGGCTACGAAGTTAACAACTCAAGAGACTTACCGATGGGGAGGACGCTTTCCGGCGGCTGCCGAGCATGGAGGTGAATTTCCTCCCCTTCCTCGGGACACGGCTGCCACTAGTCGTGGCAGCAGCAGCAACGGCCGCGTCGGACGTCTCCTGGGCGACGCCCTCCTTCAAGGAGGCAGCCGCCTGGTGGTCCACGAGCAGTCCAATGACATCGGTCAGAAGGAGAGCCTGCACCACATGAAATCATTATGCGATCTAGCAGCAAATATAAAGGAGTCGTCAAATACACTCACGTTGATTGCGGCTCCACGCTCAGCCTTCCCCTTCTCGCAAAGGGGAACAGGGACGTTGCTCGCCGTTGTCGGGCCGCTGATCATCAACTGGCCGACGCGACGCTCCACGGTCTCGCTGTTCAAACCTGTAGACCGAGAACCATAATTCGGTAAGTCAGGAGGAACATGCACATGAGGAAGTCAAGTTAAATACAAGAAAAATACCCCGAGGAGAAACCCGGGTCGCGTCCTCCGGCCCAGAATAGTCAAAGGCTAGGTGGGCTCAAGCCTGGAGCGGCTAGATCCGCTTACCAATGAAGTCGGCAGTGACTTCATACCCCGACAAACCTCGTACTCGGAGGTCATCGATGGCATCGATGAAGGACTAAAGAGAAGGGGTCAAGGCGGGTTTGGCGGTCCAAGACGGAACCTTGTCTGGTTGTTCCTAAGGAACAACAAAGATCGGATCTGAATCCTCTATCTGAAGATAGAACCACCTCGCCCGCCATTTGCTACGAGAAGAAGGGCACTGGAAGGGGATATAGCGCGACTTCAGGCCGTCCCGAAGTCGGAAACCGACACATCCAGATATCCTGGTGGATTCCATCCGACGCAACTCGTAGTAAAAGCGAAAGAGGTCGAGAAACGGTTCTACCCCAATGTAGGCCTCACAAAGATTCGAAAAGATACTGAGGAAAGCGATGGAGTTGGGGTTCAAATAGAGCAAAGAGAGACCGTAGAAATTCAAAACGAGGAGGAGAAACTCAGAAGGCGGGGGGAGAAAACCACAGAGAATATAGTCCTCAACCGCAACCATGCGGCCTAGGACAGGTTCAGGTTCAGTACCTCCTGGTTCCCTCTCCATGGTCCCGCAACCGGGGAGAGCGCCCTCCTCCTGCAACTTCTTCAGGGATGCACTAGTAGAAGTGGACTTGTCGAGGTCCATCGCCGCCGGAGATCGCCGGAGAAGGGATCGAGATGAACAAGCTAGGGTTTGTGCGGAAGCGGAGAAGGCGAGGAGCGCTTGGAGGCTGGAGAGTTTTTTCACAACAGGCGGACTTCAAAATGGATCCCCAAAATCCTCTTAAATAGACGCATATCCGACGGTGCGAATTCCAAGGAAAGGAGAGAGAGATGGCCGCCGGAAATTTCTGGGTCCGTTACGCGCGGCGGTTTTTCGGACTTCAGTTTAAATTCACTCATGACCGTTGGGCTTCACATGGTGTTGTCGATTACGTCCTGTCTCTACGGTCCTCGCACCGAGAACGACAACAGCCTCGACACCAGAAGTCGCGATCGGTTACACGAGTTCATTTAAACAGAAGTCGGGGGCTACTGTCAGGGTTACGGGTAAGGTATACCCTTTACCCTTCGATATACGTCACATATCGATATGGCATGTCTGCGCGTATATGGATGTTCTCTGCATACATTAAGGAAATCCTTCACGGAGTTTACAGATGGAAAGAGTCCTACTCAGACAGGACTGGGTCGTCAATGTATCGTGCAGGGTCCGATGTCTCCAAGTCCTACTGGGGAACCGCCTGACCTGCGATATAAAAGGGACCCCTAGGAGGACCTAAGGCATCGAATCTCATAGCCAACACATCCACCACAGCCTACGAAGTCGGAGCCTACAGGAGCTAAGTCGCCGGGGGATCTAGTCGAACCAGCTCGATTACGATCTCGCCGGTATCATCGAGTTCCATTGTTCCCTTTGTAACCTGTGATTTTCATCATATAATCCCATATCAACTGGATTAGGGCTATTACCTATCAAGGGGCCTGAACCAGTATAATCTTCGTTTTCTGTCTGCTAGATGTCGTATTACGTAGATCCTCATACCAGCGTACCCCAATACCCTCTATATCCGGTCTACGGGTATCCCCCGTCGACAGTATCATATTAATCTAAAATATCATATTAATCTATTTTTCAAGTTTGTATTAATTAAAACACAATCAATCATACGTTAATACCATCTCATTTTGCATAAAAACTTAATCTTTATCTTAATCTTCAGGAGAAAAGAACACCACCTTCAACAGAGATGGCATCTGGTGACAAGGGGCATGGAGAGGATAGCAATCTTGACCTTCGTTTTCTCTCTCCTCCCCCGTGGATTTAACGCAACCCAATTGGGTCTCATAGATGGCCATAAGGCCCGAGGCCCGAAGGCCCGGCCCACGGCACGGCATTTTGGTCCGGCCCAAGCGCGGAACGCCCTGACTTGGGTCAGGCCCGTGCCGGTCCGGCCCAACCGCTGGGCCGTGCCTGGGCCTCCCCACCGGTACGCTAGGCTGGCCCGGCACGATGGGCCGGCAGGGCAGGCCCGGCACACAAAGTATTGGGACTAAAAATAGACATATTAATGTCAAATCCAAAGAATAGGGACCTAAAATAGACTTATTTTAGCTATTTATATATCACAGCCCAAAGAAGAGGGAAGTAAAATAGACTTTTTTTTAGCTATATATATGTCAAAGCCCAAGAGGAGGGAGGAATATTAGACTTATTCTAAGGAAAAGCACGATGGGTCGTCGTGCCTTCGTGCCGGCCCGAGTCGTGTGGGGCCGTGCCTAGGCCGTGTGTGCGGCCTGTGGGCTGGCACGACACGGCCCGGTGCGTCGGTCGGGCCGTGCCGGCCCGACTAGCCTCGGCCCAAGCATGGCCGGGCCTAGGCCGTGCCGTTTCGGGCGGCCCAGATGGCCATCTATACTGGGCCTTTCTCCTTTCGGCCCAAGGCCCATATCAGCCGTCCGATCCGAGACCTTCTTTCCTGGGACGTCCGATCGGAATCGCTTTCCGCGAGAGGATATATTCGTGGAAAAGTCTTCGCTCTCTCTTCGCTTTTCCGAACCCTTTCCATTTTTTCCACCCACACAGCGGCGGCGAGGGTTTCCGATGGAGAATGGAGACGAGACGTTCGCTTCCCCCACCGCCGGCGGCGGCGGCGGCGAGTTCGAGCAGCCGCTGACCAACGGCGGGGGAGGAGGAGGGGGCGGAGGGGTGTACCCCGCCGCCAAGGCCTACGACGCGGGCGAGTTGGACGCGCTCCGCGAGGCGAAGCGCGACCTGGAGGACAAGCTCGCCGCCGTGGAGCACGAGAACCGGTTCCTCGGCGCGGAGGCGTACCGCCTCGAGGGGATCGTGTCGCAGGCCAGGGAGGACATCGCCACCGCCGAGCACGCCATCGCCGCCTCCGAGGGGGAGGCCGCCTTGCTCCGCGACGAGGTCAAGCGCGTGAAGGAGCTCCTCGCCGCCGAGAAGTCCAACCACGAGGCCGAGCGGCGCAGGGCCGCGGACCTCGACGCCGAGCTGAAGGGCGTGCAGAAGGAGGTGGCGGCCCTCGAGGAGGAGATCAAGGCCCTGAAGGCATCCGCCGCCGCCGCCGATGCAGAGGATGAGGATGAGGCTGCTGCTCCCGCGACGCCATCTAAGGAAGCGGAGGTAGGTTATCACGGGCTGATGGCAGCTGCCGCCGCTGGAGCCGCCGCCACGGCCGTCGTTGCGGTGGTCATCCTTCACCTGAAGAGGTAATCTGGTGCTGTGACGCGTAAGAAGTTTTGGTCTGCTGCTATGGCTTACATGAGATTGGATTACCCCCTTTTGCCGTGGTGCTGGTATTACTGGAGGTAATATTACTTTAGCATTCCACTCGCTAGCATTTAGAGTCCTAGAGAGGTGGAGACTTATCGTGAGTCCGTTTCGGTTCTGCATCCTCACATGGTAATAAGAATGTCAAGACAATTCTGAGTGAGACGCATGTGGTTGTGTTATGTTATGTTATTTTGGTGCTGTACTGATTTTTAATTCTGTCCCATGGATTCTTGCATTGCTCTGCTGTTTGTGTGTGAAATTACTACGATTGCAGAATTAATGACCTACATCAAGTTCAGAGTATAGTATTTTTTTTTTATTTAGCAGTCGCAACTCAGAAGAGTGTGCAGCTGCTCATTGCTCTGCTCTGACCATGCCAATGTGGTCTATGACATTTGCTGCTGACCTTTTTTACTGGAAAATGCGCAGGGATATTACTTTGGTTGATGAATGCTAATATGTGTTTATTGTCTTGCTGAATGGTATGTTGGAGTGTTTAATTGTTTGCAATGTTTTTGTTATGCTCTGGGGTTAAGTGATTATAGTATGGCAATGATACATCTTTGCTTGCCAAGATGTTTGTGAGTGTAGAATAAGTGGCTGCTAGACTATATGTAATATGGCCAGCAGCAGCATCTTATGGGTTCCCATGGATTTTGGTATGAATCTATATCAGTCAAGAGGTTTGCAGAATTATAACTACCACACTAGATTTTATATAATATAACGAGTAATATTTATCATGTTTCTGTTTGCCTCTTATAAGCAAAGTTTAAGTTGTGCCTCAACTGATTTTGGTTGATGCATTGTTGCTGCTTTTGTGTTATATTTGTGCTAAGAATTAATTATATAAGGTTTTTCTAGAGTATCAAGACTAGCCATCAGCTTTTACCATTAACTTGGATGCAGAAACCATTCCTTCGGATATTTCTTTCTTGGTGATACTTGTTGGTAGAATTATCTTGTCTTCTTCCTATGGTTAATCTAGTTGGTTACTTCGATTTGAACCTTAATTAAGAGGTGAAAAGCTATACAGATTTAAATTCAATATTGGCTTAGCTCACTTTTTTTTTTCAACAAGACCTAGCCTTGTTCTTGTTATATTTGCCTGCTAATATCATCTCCATTAGTGGCTATCAAATTAAGTTATAGAAAATCCAGGACCAGCCTGATCTTCAATAGAAAGCTTAGGTTTCTGGTTGGGCTGCTTTCGTTGGTTGATATGAGGCCAGTTCTATTTCAAGTCCCTGTTGAAAATTTCCATCCTCACTTAAAAGTTGGAGTGCTTTTGCAGTTCCATATGTTGGGTTCTGGTTGTTGTAATATTCTCTTCTGTGACTGCAATGCATCGTTCTTTGAAGTCTTCCTTCACTCCTTTGCATTTGGAGCAGGATGGTAGGCTTGAATTGTTATACATTTTTGTGAACTATAAAAGCATGCCATTCAATTTATACCAGTGATAGCTGGTATATCTCTGTTAAGATAAACTACGATTCTTGATGCTGTTTCTCCATGTTCCGCGTGTAAATTCTTGATTCTTCTAATGATCTTCTCCATGTTCTGTGCAAAGTCATTGCCGCATCTCTTACAGGAACTAGGAGGATAAAAGTTCTACTGCGCATCAAATACATTGATCAATATTTATCCTCATTTGTTACCGTTTACTCATGCTATTGCTATGGCATTCAAGTATTCAACCTGAATACGAAGCCTGTGCATCATCAGGTAACTAAAGAGACTGATCAAAGTAACATGTCTGAGTAACATCAGCAGATCAGCCCAACAACCCATGTCAGGTTCGTTCAATTGATATATCTTCAGGTGATTCGGATGGTACATTTGTACTCATCTCCTTTAGTACTAGCTCGCTTATAGCATGTACAGTTATCTTGCAAGCAAGAACAGGTTCCATGTGTCAAATTCTCTTCTTTTTTTTTCTCCCAAAAAAATTAGTGCCAGATTCTTTCAGTTGGCATGAATGTCAAATGATTCGGCTGTACGTAGTACGGCACTAATCTCATTGCTAAAAATCTGAATAATTGTCAGATTGTCTCGCAAGAACAGGCTTCACGTTTCCGAGGTCATGCAACAGATGCCTCTAACGTTAATCAGCTCATTCCCGAATACGAGCAATGAGCAACAGCATCTCTATCTATTAGGTTCGTCAGCTTGAAACCGAACGAATCAAGCACGGATTAACGAAACCAGGTCCAAATCCGGTTCGTCAGCTTGAGACCGAATGAATCAAGCACGGATTAACGAAACCAAGTCCAAATTCGGTTCGTCAGCTTGAAACAGAACGAATCAAGCACGGATTAACGAAACGAAGTTCACATGAACTCCACATGTCCAAGTCGAAAGACATTGGCATGTCGTCGAACACATGCCAAGAACCCAAGAATCAATGGCGGGGCACGGCGGCGTGCAGCCCTAGCCACCGAAGAGGACGCTGGCGTGGGGAGCCAGCTCCTTGTGCGCCGCCGTGATGGTGCCCTCGGCGACGCCGGTGGCCGTGGAGACGTCGCGCACGGACTTGCTGCCGCCGGCGCGCTGCACGACCATGTAGATGATGGCGGCGGCGATGGACTCCGGGTTGCGGCGCACGTCGAGGCGCTCCTCGAGGCGGCGCACCGCGTCCCCGGCGGCGCGCACGTCCTGGTGGCCCAGGCCGAGCCTGGAGCAGAAGCGGCGGAGGTAGTCGGTGGAGCGCACGACGCCGATGTCCATCGCCCGCCCCTCGCCCTGGTCGCCGAGGTGCTTCTTGATGAGGGTGGTGAGCCTGCCGATCTCCTTCTTGGCGGCGGCGCCCTCGGCGGTGACGGAGGCGAGCTCCTTGTACGTCCGCGGCATCCCCTCGTTGCGGCACGCGATGAAGAGGCAGGCGGCGTAGACGGCGTCGCGGTTCCGGCCGCGCGGTAACCCCTTGGTGGGCGCCTCGCCGAGCTTCTTGAACACCTCCTTGGCGCGGTCGCGGATGGTGGCGACGAGGCCGAGGCGGTCGGCCATGTCGGCGATGCCCCTGAACGCGGCGACGAGCGCGTTCTCCGGGGACGGGCCGACGACGTCGACCCTCCTCCTCGTCAGCAGCGGGGCGGCGTCGGCGGACTTGGGCGGGGCGGAGGAGTAGGCGATGGTGGTGCCGCCGACGTGGTCGGGGAGGAAGGGGTCGGCGCGGTCGCCGACGCGGTTGGGGTCGCGGTCGTCGCTGGCGCCGTCGTTGGCGAAGGTGCGCCACTCGGACGTCTCGTCGATGTAGCGCGCGTCGAGGACGAGCGCGCACTCGGTGCAGATGGTGTCGCCGGTGGTGTGGTCGAGCACCACCGCCGTCGCGCGCCGGCAGTCCGGGCAGTAGGCCCCGTCGTTCGCCGCCGCGTCGTGCATTTGCTCTTGCTTAGCTGCTCGGTTTTTCTCTTTTTTTCTCTCTCTCGCGCGCGATCGCGGCGGCGGGTGCGGGGAGGAGACGAGTTGAGTTGAGTTGGGGAAACTGAAAAGAGGAGGCCTTGGGGAGTGTGGGCTGTGTATTTATAGACGATTAGGTCGGTGCAGGGGTAGTAAGGGGATCGGAGTCGGAGTCGGACACGGCAGTTTCTATTGGAACCAATATTTGCAATTGCAATTGGATTTTCCTCAAAGCTCTCTGCAAAATATGGAACGTTTGGAAATTCGTAGTACATGGCCTTGAATTTCCTTTTTATAAAGCTCATGTGTTCCAAAGGAGTATTATACTCCCTCCGTCTCAAAAAAAAAAGCAAACCCTGTGTTTCTGTGTTCAACTTTGACTGTCCGTCTTATATGAATTTTTTTTATAATTCGTATTTTCATTGTTGTTAGATGATAAAACATGATTAATATTTTATGCAACACTTAGTATAATATGAAATGAATTTTATTTGTTTAAAATTATATCATTAAGATTTAAATTTACTTTTCATATGGTTATAATTTTATTGCTACAAAACTTATAGTATATAAGAAATTATAAGTTAAAAATTAGTTTTAAAGACTGTGCCAACTTGAACCACGTCTTATATTATATGATAGAGGGAGTAGATTATAAAACTAGACTACACTACAAAATTTTTATAGTTCAAACGTTGAGTGAGCATTCTTGATACTAGTTTACACAATATGATATGTTTTGAAGAAGTCCTAATTAGCATGAACATTGATTCATGTAGTAGAGTTAAGATGCTATTACTGCTCTTATATTTTCGTACAGTACCAGTCTAGGTATATGCTGAAAAATTATGCCATGGAAACTCTTCGAGTCTTTGATTAATTGCAAGTCAACTTTTCGAAGCTTCAACTATCTGAATTTTTTTCCCTCTTGAACTGAAATATTTTTCATTTTCAAGTTGGCAACCAAAACCAAACACGACCCAACCCAGCGGCTGCTTCTCCCTCCCGCCGCCGGAATCGCCTCTCCCGCGGCGGAATTCCTCACCTACAAAACGGAGGCCAGCCGCCGCAATGCGAGGCCCCCATCGTCGTCGTCGCGAGGTGGAGGAGAGGTATGGCCGCGCGAGGCAGCGAGGGAGGGGAGGAGGCGGAGGTGGAGGGGAAGGCGGGGCTGCACCGGCTGTTCAGGTACGCGGACGGGGTGGACGCGCTGCTCATGGCGGCCGGCGCGGCAGGGGCGGCCGCGAGCGGCGCTGCGCAGCCGCTCATGAACCTCGTCTTCGGCGAGGTCGTCGACGCCTTCGGCTCCGGCTCCCGCGACGACGTCCTCCACCGCGTCTCCAAGGCACGTCTCTCCCCAAGTCAAACCCCGCAGCTCGAGTTCCGTTGTTGTTTCTAGCTTTGATTTGATTGCAGCAGCAGAAGTTTGGTTTCTACGACGCGCGGCCACGTCGCGGCCGATTGATGCGTGGAAGTGGTAGAAGCACACTGGATTAACGCACAGTGATTGAACTGAATTCATTTTTACTGTGAGGAAATTTCTCCTCCTTCGCCACAAAGTTGTGTGGCATGCACGAAGAATTTTGTGGCATACTCAAATTAACGATAAAATACAACTTTGTGGCAAAAAATTGACTATGCCACAACACTTTGTGGCAAAGGAGCAGCGATTTTCTCTTTTACTGTTTACTGTAGCATGTTCCATTCCCAATCTTCACTGGAGTCAAGTTTTACATCAGTAGTTCAGTTATTCTGGTAAAAATGTACTGCACAACAATGTGTAGTCATTTAAAGTGTGATTTCTAATATTGCTCATGAAATGTATGAAACATTGATGCCTATGTGTGTGTGGTACTGCTCATGAATTGTTTTTTCATCTATCTATTTATCAAAACAGCTGGAATTCGGCCTTAGCTAATCTGACAGTGTTGTTTCAGGTGTGCCTGAAGTTCTTCTATTTGGCTATTGGATCATGGTTTGCTTGCTTCCTCCGTAAGTACTCCTATTTCTTTATCAACATCATATGTTCATTTTTTTCCCGTTTAGTTTGCCCTTAAAACTGTTTTTCAGTTAATCTTTTTCATTTCAAATAAGTAAAGAGGGAGGAACAAGAGACTAGTGGTTCTAGCTCCTACATCTCATGGATGAATGTATTGAGCTGTTAGTTTTCCCTGTCAAAGTTTCCCTGTCATGGATAAATTTTTGTTAGTTGTGTGAATGTCTTAAATTTCTAGATTACCTATTCTTATCCTGACATTTTCAAAAAGAAGTAAACATTAACAAATACATTAATAAATTCTTAAGTTCAAAGTAGAACATCCATCATTTTGCACATTATATTTGCATTTTCCAATTTCTGAAGCCGCTATGTGCCTAGAGCATCCATATGCAGGTTGTGTTAGAGCCACTGCCTGGTATGGAGTATGTGAATTGGCCATGACTGATTTTCATTGTCTTATCAGAGGTTGCATGTTGGATGATTACTGGTGAAAGACAAGCTGCCCGCATACGAGGGCTATATCTTGAAGCTGTATTGAGGCAAGATATTGCATTTTTTGAAAAGGAGATGACAACTGGACAAGTAGTTGAGAGGATGTCTGGAGATACAATACTCATCCAGGATGCAATTGGTGAAAAGGTATACTTATGCAGTACTTTAAATATGCTGTTTGATGCTGCTTCTTGGTATTGTTTCTGAAGGTCCAATCACATAGGAATCTATTTGTACTAGTAGATGTATTATTCTTACCAGTGTTTCAAGCAAGTTCCATGCTTGATCGGATGATTAGTTTTTCTTTACATTATTGTAATTGATTTGATGACTATTTCAGACAGCCCAAACTAATTGGCTTTTTTTACACTGGGATATGTGACCAATTGTGATTGTCCTTTTCAGGTTGGGAAGTTTATACAACTCACTGCTACATTTGTGGGGGGTTTCGTAGTTTCTTTCGCTAAAGGATGGCTTTTATCATGTGTCATGCTCTCAAGTATTCCTCCTATAATAATCGCTGGAGCAACTATGTCATGGACTATATCAAAGCTGTCAACTCATGGTCAATCCAAGTATAATGAAGCAGGGAATGTTGTTGAACAGACGATTGGAGCTATCAGAACGGTGTGTCCTTGTTAAATCCTTTTCTTTATGTCTTAACTGCACTATAGATTCTTAGTTAGCTCTTGCTCTACCCAATTGAAGGTTGCTTCATTCAATGGTGAGAACCGAGCCATTGCACTATACAACAAATACATTCACAGTGCATATGTCTCTGCTGTTCAAGAAAGCACTGCAACTGGCCTGGGCTTTGGTTTTATTATGTTTATGCTGTTTTGCACGTATGGTCTAGCAGCATGGTATGGGGCGAAATTGATTATCGATAAAGGATATGAAGGAGGGCAAGTTGTCACTGTCTGGATGGCATTCATGACTGGTGCAATGTAAGTGATCAACATGGGGAGTTACTTAATGTTATTCTAGTGTTAAAAGGTATAATGTTAGTCTGAAATATCAAAGAAAATAATGCTCTTTCATAAACTCACCAACAATTTAGGTACATAATTCATAATATTATATATCTCTTTCTCTGCATAATAGCTCAGCTATATTATAAGGAATTCTTAATTGGTTCATTCTGTTCAATATAAAATGGCCTGGACTGCCTGACCTGTGATATATAATTTTTATTTTGCTCTAAATTTCATATGGACAGAAGAAAAATTCTAGTATATTTTGCTCTAAATTTCATATGGACAGAAGAAAAATTCTAGTACACACATAATAGTCCATATAACCAACTCATTACATTGAAGATCTTGCTCCAAAAACGAGCGGGGTAACAACTTTTTATTCCAGCAGATATATCTTGCTAGTGACGTATGTCATATCAGATGTTGCTCATACATAGCTATTATGTTCTTATGAAAATACACATTTTGCTTTCCAGGTCACTGGGTGAGGCAACGCCGTGTATGTCTGCTTTTGCTTCTGGGCAGGCTGCTGGTTATAGAATGATGCAAACAATCGAACGAATGCCAACAATTAATTCTAGTGGAACAGATGGTGCCGTATTAGAGAACATCAAAGGTGACATAGAGCTGAGGAATGTGTACTTCAGCTATCCATCCAGGCCTGACCAGTTGATATTTGATGGGTTTTCGTTACATGTCTTGAATGGCATAACTATGGCTATAGTAGGGGAGAGTGGCAGCGGAAAGTCAACGGTGATTAATCTTGTCGAGAGATTCTATGATCCACAGGCTGGTGAAGTTTTGATTGATGGTGTTAACATAAAGACTCTGAGGCTTAGGTGGATTAGGGAAAAGATCGGCCTTGTCAGTCAGGAACCACTGCTGTTTGCCACTAGTATCCGAGAGAACATTGTCTACGGAAGAGAAGATGCAACGACTGAGGAGATAATGGCTGCAACAGAGCTTGCTAATGCAGCGAAGTTCATTGAGAATCTACCTAATGTATGAAAGACACAGAAATGCTTCAACCTGTGCGATTTTTTTATCGTATTGTTATTTGACAACTAACTAACTAACCATCTCTTCTGTTTTCTCAGGGCCTGGACACAATGGTTGGTGAACATGGAGCTCAGCTATCTGGAGGGCAAAAGCAAAGAATTGCTATCGCAAGAGCGATCCTTAAAAATCCCAAAATCTTGCTGCTTGATGAAGCAACTAGTGCACTAGACATGGAATCTGAGCGAGTGGTTCAAGAGGCCCTTAATAGAATTATGCAAGACAAGACCACGATTGTAGTAGCTCATCGGCTGAGCACCATAAAAGATGCTGACATTATATCAGTCGTGCAGCATGGAAGAGTAGTTGAACAAGGTCTGAACCCTTCACGCACCTACGATGTAACTCTTGTGAATCTCAGAGTTTAATGACTAACTTGTTAATGTTAACCAGGCACGCATACTGAACTACTCAAGGACCCAAGTGGTGCATATTCTCAACTTATACAACTGCAGGGTGCAACTGAAGAACTGCATAAATCTGGTGTCGGTTATCAAAGGTCTATTTCAACTGTCCGAAGTGTCATGTCCATTAGCAAATCTAGAGGCCGCAATGCATCATTTAAGAGATCATTAAGTCGAGGAACTTCATTTGGGAGTACTAGTGTGCATTTAACCACAGCAGCTGGTATGATAGTCCCTGAGAGCATGCATACTGAGGTACCATCCAAGGTATTAGATGACAATGAAGAGCACAAGAAGGTGCCCCTCTGTCGACTTATATCTCTTAACAAACCAGAGATACCAGTTCTTCTATTAGGTACAGCTGCTGCAGTTGTAGCAGGTGTTCTCTTCCCAATGTTAGGTTTGCTGATCTCCAGTTCCATAAAATCGTTCTATGAGCCACCACATCAACTTAAGAAAGATGCACGGTTCTGGACATTGATGTATGTAGCAGCTGGAATTGTTTCCCTTGTTTCCTTGCCAATGGAAAATTTCCTATTTGGAGTGGCTGGTGGGAAATTGGTGGAGCGCATTCGTTCTTTATCTTTTAAAAGAATTGTTCATCAAGAAGTCAGTTGGTTTGATAATCCCTCAAATGCAAGGTCAGTCTCTAATTATTCCACGGTTGTGCATTACATTCCCAGATTTACCATTAAATCTGCACTGCGTTATTTACTTCCTTTACTGTTTTATGCCCAGTGGAACAATTGGTGCGAGGCTATCTGTTGATGCTTCAAATATTCGGCGTCTTGTAGGAGACTCGTTAGCGTTGATTGTTCGAAGCTCTGTTACAATTATTGCTGGATTTATCATTGCAATGGTTGCAAACTGGAGGCTTGCCCTTGTTGCCACGGTTGTGCTTCCTTTGGGAGGTCTCCAGGGGTTCTTCCAGATAAAGTTTTTGGAGGGATTCAGTGCAGATGCTAAGGTACATGTCACCTCTGGGCAAAAAATAAAAATAAAAATGATACCATCCTGCTAAATGTACTCCTGTAGTCCTCTTGCTATATTTTTCTGAATGTTGGGTTGCAGGTAAAGTATGAAGAAGCAACTCAAGTAGCACATGATGCTGTCAGTAGCATACGGACTGTCGCTTCGTTCTGTGCGGAGAATAGGATAATGAAGGCTTACTACAAAAAATGTGAAGCTCCGGTGCGACAGGGGATACGTCAAGGGATTGTCAGTGGCTTGGGTTTCGGCATATCATTCTTTGTGCTCTATTCTACATATGCCCTTTGTTTCTATGTAGGAGCCAAGTTCATGCTTGATGGCAAGGCCACATTCACTGAAATATTCAGGGTGAGAGAACTCTCAAGCTGATTCGCTTTCAGTCGTTTTGTGTTGTGTAATTTCTAATGTGTTCCTCTCTAGGTGTTCTTTGCTTTGCTCATGGCAACCATAGGAGTTTCCCAGACAAGTGCGATGGGTTCAGATTCTGCCAAGGCCAAGGCGTCGGCATCCTCAATATTTGCCATGATTGACCGTGAATCGAAGATCGACTCGAGCAGTGATGACGGCATGGTCTTAGCTAATGTGGCTGGTGAGCTCGAACTCCACCACGTCTGTTTCTCATACCCATCACGCCCAGACATACAAATATTCAGAAATCTGTCACTGAGAATACCATCAGGAAAGGTAACATATAAATATATAATTCTACCACCTTACCATAAAATCTTTCGTTTCTCTCCAACATATATTAAGCATTTTCTTGTAGATGGTTGCCCTTGTCGGAGAGAGCGGCTGTGGCAAATCAACCGTGATAGCACTACTGGAAAGATTTTACGACCCTGATTCAGGAACAGTGACACTAGACGGCGTCGACATCAAGAACCTCAAAGTCGGGTTTCTGCGGCAGCAGATGGGGCTGGTGAGCCAAGAGCCCGTCCTGTTCAACGACACGGTCCGCGCCAACATCGCCTACGGCAAGGAAGGCGACGCCACGGAGGAGGAGATCGTCGCCGCCGCGAGGGCCGCGAACGCGCACCAGTTCATCTCGGCGCTGCCCGGGGGCTACGACACCTGCGCCGGCGAGAGGGGCGTCCAGCTCTCCGGCGGGCAGAAGCAGCGCGTGGCCATCGCGAGGGCCATCCTCAAGGACCCCAGGATCCTCCTCCTCGACGAGGCGACGAGCGCGCTGGACGCCGAGTCGGAGCGCGCCGTCCAGGCGGCGCTGGAGTCGGTGATGGTCGGCCGGACGACGGTCGTGGTGGCTCACCGGCTGTCGACGATCAGGGGCGCCGACGTGATCGCCGTCCTCAGGGACGGCGAGGTCGTGGCCACGGGGAGGCACGTGGAGCTGATGGCGAAGAAGGATGGCGTGTACGCTTCGTTGGTGGAGCTCCGCATGAGCTCCGAACGCGCCGGTGACTCCAAGCCCTCGTGACCATGAGCACACGGTGGTTGCCGTCACCGTGCTGCTGCATGCCAAGACTGTACATAGGATTGGGAGTAAGGCTGCGTTCTTTCTTCTTGTCAACAGTGATTACGGAAAACGGAGCGATCCATTAGCACATGATTAATTAAGTATCTGCTATTCTTTTTAAAAAAAATGGACTAATATGATTTTTTTAAGCAACTTTCGTATAAAAACTTTTTACAGAAAAATGCACCGTTTAGTAGTTTGAAAAGCGTGCTAACGGAAAACGAGGACGACTAGCCTGAAAAGAACGCAGCCTAAATAGCTGGGAAAAGCTAATGTGTAAGATAGCTGACCATCTTCCCAGCACTTGTAATCCCTCGATAGGATATCCTCTTGTTGGTCGAAAAATCATACAAATAATTATAAAAAAAAATCACATCTATATACCACCTCAGAACTTGTAAGTATATCGACCTGATTTGTGGTGAAATACAGCATGTGCTCAAGAGTTTGTCTGTAAGCTGCAGTGGATCGTCCTCCATACAACTGAAACACGGAGAAAGTCAATTTTGTCGAGAAAAACTGATGAAGACAACTTGTCACATGATGGCCTATATTAAGAAATGAACTAGTACCCACAAAGATTTCATTTGAGGTAGTAACAACCTTGCAAAATTTGCAAGTAGTGTTTCAATTCCCATCTGCTAATTATAAAGGAGCCAGAGCATCTTTAGCGAGAATCTGGCCGTTTCAAATGGCAAGTACATCATCAGACTATAGGGCAACAAAATCAAGTCACGCAACAACTTTGCAGTTCGTAATGCTGCACAAAATTTGAAACTCTTCCATCCAAATTGTTCTGAGGTGGTGAATCTACGATTGAAGGTCCACTGATCAGCAGCATAATCCCTGCATCGCCGCCGCCTTCCTCATCCTCTCTCCAACTAGAGATGGAAATGGGTGCAAGAAATCTAAACGCGAGGACCATCACCATCTCCTGGAAGGCTGGAACTCCATGAACAGCTGCTGCATCATGCAGCAGAATCCAGAGTGACCCCTTGGCCCTTGCTTCTGACAAAAGCCCAAGAGGAGGAACATCTTGACGCCGGCACAACACACCTGATGTGACAATCTGCAATAGTAGCTTCCAATCGTTTGTGAGTAATGTTGTAAAACAAAACGAATTTGGGCAGCTGATCATGGATTTTCCCATGAAAGCAACAGATTAAAAAACATTCCTACACAGACTCCCGATAAAACATCACCTTCACACGTGAAACAAAAGGAAGAAGACACAATAGATGAGATGCTTAACGGAACCGAACATAGATCCTTCAATCAGACTGCATTGTCTCATTTAAAAATTGGGCGGTCACCCTGGCTGCATCTGCTTGCAGTTTATTTTTCATTTAGATAAGAGACTACCTGCCCAGATCAAGTGAAAGCTATCTGCAGATTCAGACACGAAATAGAGTAACCATCAGACTGCAAACTACACGACCAGGTCAGCTTGTGCAGCAGATAAACAAACTTACATGTAGGTTTAAGCAGGCTCTGCCAAAATGTCCTAGTTACCTGATGGAAGCAGAGGATACGACTTTAAAGACACATGGATCCTCAGATTCCTGTCGATATCGCCATGATTTCTGCCATGGGCTGTTCAAGTTATCTGTGTAAAAAAAGCACAAGAGTTTGCAATAAGTCCGACATTCACAACTAAACAACATAGAGTTGACATCCTGGACAAAGATGAGACATGAAGAAGGTGTTGTCTGGCTAATCATTTCCCCATTTTACTCGCTTCATGGCCGTCTTGCCACTCTTTATATGTTCATGTCATTATCCTTTGTTACCACAATTATAACCTCACTATATTTTTGCAAAAAGAAAGAAAAAATAAAACCTCACTATCTTTTCTGTTAACTCTTGTGAATGCAGTTAACTGGTATCTTTTCTTGAGAAAACAGTTACGTGGAATCTAACATGACAAGGACACTATAAAAGCTAGACAACCCATATCAGCCAAAGCAATACATAACAAGTAAAGCACATGTTGCTCTGGTACTAAGTAGGCAGAACATGGAAGAAGCATCCACAGCAAGAGCTGCTGATGGAGATAAGCGTGGAAAGGAAGAGAATGACAGGAGGATGGCCAAGGATGGCAAGGTGGCATTCCATCACCTGTTCAAGTATGCGGACAGCACAGATGTGGCGTTGATGCTGGTTGGCACCATAGCATCACTTGCAAGCGGCATGTCACAAGTAATCATGACCATCATCTTCGGGCAGATGGTCGACGCCTTTGGGAAATCATCCCCGGGCAACATCCTTCATCAAGTCAACAAGGTACAGATACTGATGATCCCCCTTTTGTTTCTGCATGAAGGCAGGCCTGCAAATGTTGACTGGACCATGTTAATAGTTATTGGTCTATGCTAACAGCTTACAGGACAAATATGAACGAAAATTGATATTAACACTGTCATGGCCTCAACTTAAATACATGAGCAGCATTCGTCCTAATTTTGCTGATTTAGCTTTATAAGTAAAATATTAATACACAACTTGAGAGTTATTTTGAGGAAAATGTCAAGAGCTCCCTATCGTGTTAAAGAGGAGTAAAAGGGAGTTTAAAAATATAAAATATTACTTCATAGCTATATACTGATCTAATATGTTTGTTATTATATCTTATTTTTCTTTCAGGCGGTACTATACTTTGTCTACTTGGGCATTGGATCAGGGATTGTTTGTTTTCTCCGTAAGTATGATTGATACAATTATCTTTACGGATATTTTTGTATGGAATACATATTGATGATAGCATGACTAAGCATCCTAATTATTAGAAAAGAGAAGCTACACATATCATATGATCATAATCTACAAATACCTGAACACCCAATAGCCACATTCTAGTATCTGAACATCCAGTGAGGCCTTTCTTCCCAATCTTAATGAAATTGGTCAGCCAACCTTTGACTGACCCGGCCAAAAAAAAAAAAAACATCCAGTGAGGCCATGATAATTCTGTGGCACAGTTAATAATAGGAGGGCAACAAAATAACTCTTACATCAGATATAAATAGATGACCATAATAGCTACGCTTGACAGAGGTGTCATGCTGGTCTGTGACTGGGGAAAGGCAGGCCACTCGCATTCGATCCTTGTATCTCAAGACAATTCTGCGACAAGATATGGCATTCTTTGACAAGGAAATGACAACTGGACAAGTTATCTCCAGTATCTCTACTGACACTACACTAATTCAAGGTGCTACTGGTGAGAAGGTAACTGCACAAACCAAGTTGTTTCTTGTTCATTGCTTTTGACCTTCTACAATATAAAATAAAGTTAGCTACTATTTCAGTGATGCTCTTGGCTACTATACATGCTGCGACTACCAACAGAACATGGCTCTTATTGATCTACCCTCTTTATTATTTTTAGATTGACCATTTCAATTCGCTGTAATCTTATTTAGGCTTTAGCACTCCTTTTTTGCCTAAAAGAAATATTCTTGCTTTTAGGTTGGGAAGTTTCTACAGCTTGTTACCACTTTCCCTGGTGGTTTTGTGCTTGCGTTCCTCAAAGGCTGGCTTCTCACTCTCGTCATGCTTTCTACCATACCACCTTTTATCTTTGCTGCCGGAATTGTCTCAAAGATGTTAGCCAAAATATCTAACGAGGGCCTAGCATCATACAGCAAGGCAGGGGACATTGTTGAACAAACAGTTGGATCTATAAGAACGGTAGGCATTTTCTTAATGGTGCAATGTAGATGACAAATAGTAAATTAATTTGTGCACATGTGTGTACTCAATAACAGGTGGTATCCTTCAATGGTGAAAAGAAAGCCATTGGCCTCTACAACGATCTGATAAAGAAAGCATACAAGGGTGCGGTCAAGGAAGGGTTTATCCAAGGCTTTGGCATGGGTTTCCTCAACTTAATCTATTTTTCCAGCTTTGGATTAATTGTATGGTATGGCAGTAAGCTAAGCCTCAGTAGAGGATATAGTGGGGCGGATATCATGAACATCTTGTTTGGTATCATGATAGGTGCAAGGTAGGTATTGATGCTAAGAATCCATTCGAAATCAGCAGCTAAATTCAACCAATGGGCCTACATTATATTACTCTACAACAAATTAATAGCACTAGCTAATATTGGTGCCTGTATGGAATTTCACAAACTCAAGCTTAATTTTCAACGCATCATGGACTATATTTCCTAACATGCACATTTTCAAATGTTTGGAATAGAGCTTTAGGTGATGCGACCCCCTGTACTGCTGCCTTTGAAGAAGGAAGAATTGCTGCTTACAGATTGTTTAAAGTAATCAAGAGGAAACCAGAGATTGACTATGATGATACTAGCGGGATTGTGTTAGAAGATATCAAGGGTGACATAGAGCTAAAGGATGTATTCTTCAGTTACCCGAGCAGGTCGGAGCAATTGATATTTGATGGATTTTCGATGTGTGTATCAAATGGAACAACAATGGCCATAGTAGGGGAGAGTGGTAGCGGCAAATCAACTGTGATAAATCTAGTTGAGAGATTTTACGATCCACAGGCTGGTGAGGTTTTGATTGATGGAATGAACATCAAGAGCTTGAGGCTGGAGTGGATACGAGGGAAGATTGGCCTTGTTAACCAGGAACCAATACTCTTCATGACATCTATCAAGGACAATATACTTTATGGCAAAGAGAATGCAACACTTGAAGAAATTAAGAGAGCAGCTGAGCTTGCCAATGCAGCAAGATTCATTGAGAGCATGCCTAATGTACACACATAACACTATCTGTTCATACCAACACACACCTCATGTATGAAGAACTAATCTTGTATTCACATGATTTCAGGGTTACGATACATTAGTTGGACAGCGTGGCGCTCAGCTTTCAGGGGGGCAGAAGCAAAGGATAGCAATTGCCAGAGCCATACTTAAAAACCCCAAAATCCTTTTGCTTGATGAAGCCACTAGTGCATTGGATTTGGAGTCTGAGAGGATAGTCCAAGACGCACTGAATCAGATCATGGTTGGAAGGACCACCCTTGTTGTGGCACACCGTTTGAGCACTGTGAGAAATGCCCACTGCATCTCAGTTGTACATAAAGGAAAAATCGCAGAACAAGGTTGATGTCTTTTCTGTGCATTCTTTATCTTATTTTTTCCCGAAGCAGATTAACAACAATAAACTGCATATGCAGGACATCATGATGAATTGGTTAAGGATCCTAACGGGGCATACTCTCAACTTATTCGGCTACAAGAGGCGCAACAGGCAATCGACCCCCACTTAGATGGTCCATTAAATAAAAGGAGCCAGTCACTCAAACGCTCATTAAGTAGAAATTCAGCTGGGAGCAGCTCCCATTCTTTAAACCTCCCCTTCAGCTTGCGTGGGGCCACTGAATTACTAGAGTATGATGGTGCAGACGGTGAGAATCGCAATTTGAAAAATGATGGAAAGTTACCCAAAAAAGGATCCATGGGTCGCCTAATTAGCCTAAACAAACCAGAAATCGCAATTCTTCTGTTTGGTTCTCTTGCAGCAGCAATTGATGGAGCTGTCTTCCCAATGATTGGTTTAGTATTGGCCAGTGCTGTTAAAGTTTTTTATGAATCACCAGACAAGCGAGAGAAAGATGCAACCTTTTGGGGATTGCTCTGTGTTGGCATGGGTGCAATTGCTATGATATCAAAGCTAGCAAATATCCTTCTATTTGCAATCGCTGGTGGGAAACTTATAAAGCGCATCCGTGCTTTGACATTTCGAAGCATAGTACACCAAGAAGTTTCTTGGTTTGATCATCCAGCAAATTCTAGGTGAGTTAATCATATGTTCATTATATCATTGGAATCGAATATTCAAGATACTAATTGTGTCATTTGTTATAGTGGAGCTCTTGGTGGAAAGCTATGTGTCGATGCCCTTAATGTGAGACGCCTTGTAGGCGATAATTTGGCCTTGCTTGTCCAATGCACTGCAACCCTAGTTTGTGGAATATTAATTGCAATGATCGCGGACTGGAAACTTTCATTGATAATCTTATTTGTAATTCCTTTAATCGGTCTACAGGGCTATGCTCAAGTGAGGTTCCTACAGGGGTTCAGTCAAGATGCTAAGGTGAGCAAATAATTAGTTTTATGGACATTTCCGCATGTTTTTTCCTGAAGTGTGTGATCTTATAAGTTTTACTCCATACATGCTTCACACTGAAAAAATTGACAAGTTACACATTTCGTTGATGGTAGACTATATGACACGATATATTTGTGCATTCTCTTTCCTTTCATCCTTATGGATGTGACAGTCATTTTTAAAGTTGTTTGTTTTCCATTTATGTTTGATATGTGACTGTAGATCATGTATGAAGAAGCAAGCCAAGTTGCAACTGATGCAGTTGGTAGCATCAGAACAGTAGCATCTTATTGTGCTGAGAAGAAAGTGATGACAAAATACAATCAGAAATGTCAAGCTTCTAGATACCAGGGAATAAGAACGGGGATAGTTGGAGGCCTTGGTTTTGGTTTCTCAAACATGATGTTGTTTATGACCTCTGCTCTTTGCTACTATGTTGGTGCAAAGTTTGTTAGTCAAGGCAACTCTACTTTTGGCGATGTCTTCAAGGTCACATCTAGAAATCATTTTCAAATTTATTTATGAATGTTTTACTTTGATATTTACTTCAAATTATTATAGTGCAGGCTTTCTTTTCTTTAGTTGTGGCCATGCTGGGAGTATCATCAACTGCTGCCATGGCTTCTGACTCGAGCAAGGCTAAGGATTCTGCTTCTTCCATATTTGCAATCTTAGATAGAAAATCTCAAATTGATTCCAGCAGCAACGAAGGTTTAACCTTGGAGCTTGTCAAGGGTGACATTGAATTTACGCATATCAGTTTCAGATACCCATCCCGTCCAGATGTTCAAATCTTCAGTGACTTTACCTTGAGCATCCCCTCTGGGAAGGTCTTAATTTAACAGAAGCCTAATTTTGTCAATGTTCTCTCAATTTTTTTTTTTGAAGATTTAGTTTATTGTCCAGGGACTAACTCAAAACCTGCTTATTGCAGACTGTGGCACTTGTTGGTCAGAGTGGCAGCGGCAAGTCTACAGCAATTGCGTTACTAGAACGGTTTTATGATCCTGATTCTGGTGTAATCTTATTAGATGGTGTAGAAATCAAGAAACTAGAGATCAGTTGGTTGAGGGACCAGATGGGATTAGTTAGCCAAGAACCAGTGCTTTTCAATGATACGATCCGTGCCAACATAGCTTATGGAAAGAATGAAGAAGTAACTGAGGAAGAGATTGTGGCAGCTGCTAAGGCAGCAAATGCCCACGAGTTCATATCAAGTATGCCAGAGGGGTACAGCACCAGTGTCGGAGAGAGGGGAACCCAATTATCAGGTGGGCAAAAACAACGAATAGCCATTGCAAGGGCCATCGTCAAGGATCCCAGGATACTACTCCTAGATGAGGCGACGAGCGCATTAGATGCTGAGTCAGAGCGCATCGTTCAAGATGCACTGGACCATGTGATGGTTGGAAGGACAACCGTTGTTGTTGCACACCGCCTCTCAACAATCCAAGGCGCTGATATTATTGCAGTCCTGAAGGACGGTGCAATTGTTGAGAAGGGGAGGCACGAGGCACTCATGGGGATTGCCAGTGGAGCTTATGCTTCACTTGTGGAACTTCGCCATAATGTGACATAATACAAATATTCACGCAATGGAATAAATTTGATCAAACACAATTTTTTGGTTTAAACAAAAAAGACATCCATAAGTTCCATGGGCGCTTATTGCTAGTAACCAAAATGTGTCAAAATTAGGCTTTTATTGATACTGCCCCCTTATCATCTGCATACAAAACCTGATCTCAAGGCCTAAGAATCGCATTGTATCTGCAGCTAATTGGTTGCTTGAAAATATTTTTTATTCAAATAACTCTTGAACTTAACATTTAACAGCAAATATCTTCTCTAGTCACTTGCTCTGGAATCTGGAGTAGTAGACACCAAATTTAGATGGCTACAAGACCAAAAATGCTAATAGCGACGCAGGATTAGAAATTTCCTGCTCGTCTGCTTACTCCTCCCCTACAAACTACAATTTCATCTATGTGACACTACTTCAAAGCATCAAAAACTCAGTAAATATGATCCCAACTAGCATAGCACAAGAGGAATCTACAACAGCCAACGGTAACAATTCACGCTTATAACCACATCTATTCGCAAGCAGAAATCACAGCTTAAAAAGGGATTTAGAACACGCGCTGCGAGAGGCCGGATACTACTTACTTCATCAGGCGGCGCGAAGACTACGGAGACTCGGAATGCAGCGGACGCCGTACGGTCGGTTCCGGCGGCGGCGAGGACTGCGGCGGCGGGCGGCGGCAGCGGCGGTCGCCTCGCCTTTCGTCGCGGAGCCTTTGAGCCTTTGGAGGCGAAGGGGAGGAAGGAGGACTTCGTGGTCGTAGTAAACTTTTTCATTTGGACTTAGTTTCGGCCCATAAAAATGATGGGATACATTTCGGCCCATATAGTTGATGGGGCCACAGTTCAGCCCATATAAATCATGGGCTTCGATTTGGTCCACAGTTCAGCCCACAGTTCAACTACCCCTTTCACACCCCTCTCCTCCCGTTCTCTCTCCTCTCCATCCTCCTTACAGCAGCCGGCGTCGGCGGCGGCAGGCGCGCGGGGCGGCGGCGTCGGCCGGAGCGCGGGCGGCGGCGGCGCGCGGGCAGCGGTCTGCCGCACGGGAGGCGCGCGGGCGGCTGGAGGCGCGCGGGCGGCTGGAGGCGCGCGGGCGACGGGACGGCGCGCGTGCAGCGGCCGCGGCAGCCCGTGGGCTGACAGCCGGCGGCGGGGGCGGGGGCGGGGCGAGCGGTGGCGCGCGGGCTGAGCGCCGACGGCAGCGGTAGGCGGCGGCGGCGGCGGCAGGGCGACGCCTACTAGGTGTTCGACGAAATGCCAACAAGGAACGTGGTGGCGTGGAGCTAGCCAATCTAGCTAAAGACTTTCACACCCACTTCAGCTCCTATAGGAGCTAGCTCTCACTAGAGTTGGAGTTGGAGTTGGGAGCTGGGAGTTGGAGTTTGGAGCTCTACTAAACGGGGCCGTAGCTGGAAGTGCTTGTTGCCTTCAGAACTCCGATGCCCGCCGCCGCCGCCGCCGCGAGACTGCGCCGCCGCGGCCACCGCCGGAAGAAGTTCGTGTACAGACCGAAGCCACCGCCGGAGCCGCACCCATTCCTCCTCCACCTCAAGTCGCTCCCGTCCCCCGTCGCCGCCGCGGCCGCGCTCCTCTCCGCGCCGAGGCGCCTCCACGACCACCCCTTCGCCGCCTGCGTGCTCTACCGCCTCGCCCGCGCGCGCCTCTTCCCGCTCGTGCCCCCGCTCCTCGCCGCGCTGCACTCCCGCGGCGCGCCGCTCCGTCCCACCGTGTTCGCCGCCGTCATCGACCACCTCGGCGCCGCTTCCCGCCCCGACGCCGCGGTCGGCGTCTTCCGCACCGTCCCGGCCTTCTGCTCCCACTCCGCCGCCACATTCCATTCCCTCCTCAACGCCCTTGTGTCCAATGGCCGCACGGATGCCGCCCGGGACATGCTCCCGCTCGCCCCGAAGCTCGGCGTCCGCCTCAACGCCGTGTCGTACAACATCATCCTCAAGGGCGCGTGTCTCCGGGACGGGTTCATGGGCGCCCGCGGCGTGCTCGACGAAATGCTCAGCCGGGGTGTGCGACCGACGGTGGTCACCTTCAACACGCTGGTGGGGTCGGCGTGCCGGGAGGGTGAGCTGGGCGCGGCGGAGCGGCTCATCGACGAGATGGCGCGCCGTGGCGTGGCGCCAAACGCGGCCACCTACGCCCTCCTGATGCGGGGGCTCTGCGACGCCGACCGCCACGCCGACGCCGAGAAGCTGATGTTCGACATGGAGTACCGCGGGTGCCAGGCCGACGTGGTGAACTACGGCGTGCTGATGAGCTCCCGCGCGAGGCACGGCGACGCCGACGGCGTCAGGGAGCTCCTCTCCGCCATGCGCAAGCGGAAGCTCAAGCCCGACGACGCGAGCTACAACATCCTGATCAGGTGCCTGTGCGACGCCGGCAGGGCCGACGAGGCGCACAGGGCGCTGCTCGAGATGCAGCTCAGGGGCACCGTGCCGGGCGCCGCCACGTACCGCGTCCTCGTCGACGGGTGCTGCAGGGCTCGCGACTTCGACCTGGGTCTACGGGTCTTCAACGCGATGATGGCGAGCGGACACTGCCCCCAAGCTCGCACCTTCAGGCACCTTGCGAGAGGGCTCGGCGAGGACGGCAAGGCGGAGGAGGCGTTCTTCGTCTTGGAGCAGATGGCGAGGAGGGAGATGAGCTTGGATGCAGATGGGTGGCAAGCTGTTGTCACGTGCGTTCGCAGCAGCTGCAGCACCCAGGCAAGTGAGATCAAGCTTGTCAATGAGTTAGTGTTGTCAAATTGATATTTTTTTCGTTTCCTACTCCCGGATGATATGATATACATTATATAAAATTCGGTTTTGGCTTGTTAAATCATTTGCATCAAAATCTGCCCAGATACTTTTGGTTGTTAAATTTTGCCTAATTAGCTTTGATTTGAGCATGACAAATAGACATACGGAGTACCTGGATTCTGGGCAACAGGCGAAAGATGTAAACCATACAACTGAAGTGATTTTGAAAGTATTTTCATGCCAGCAAGCAAATGATTAGTGATTAAGGTCAACCCTGGAACAGCCAGAATTCGGACAGATGGATTATTAATCCAGGTTCAACGATTTTATTTCATACCCATTGCTTCATGCACAGATTTATTGATTTCACCTCATATATAAGGTAAACCTGAAAATTACCCAGCCGCCTGCCAATGCGTCACCAGGTTTTATCACTTGCTGGCGAACCGTTTTTCGCGGAAGAAGCAATCTGTTTGTCCATTCAAAATGGAGTAATTTTACAATCTTCAAAGAGATACCGAGAGGTAACACATTTTCTAATATAAAGTTTGGTATTTATTGATATTTTCAATCCTAATTGTTTTTAAAATTTTGATATCTATTGATATCTCTCAAATACTGTAAAAGTTTTCTTCAAAAGGAACCTCTTTTCCACCTAAAACTGTACCGTACTGTCGTTGTCATCACTCACACCATACCTTGCATCCTATAGGTCGTAATAGTATACATCTGGATGCCCAAGAGTGAGGGCCAAACTAGCTGCAACTTTTTCCAGAATAAAAAAATTTCCTAATTAATTTAGTTTTTCATTCAGATTCTAAGAAGTACCACCACAACACACAAAGAAAAGGATATGCTCACAAAACCTCACAGGGCTTTGTAGAGCTCTCCGCATTATCACAAAACTAACAGAAATGTAAGACAGGCAGTCACTGCAACAAAATACTCCTATTATATAAGCTTACAGCCTCATCTTTTTGCTGACGCTTATCAGCCAAAATTTGAATTTTCAACCTTAAATTTGGAGTTGATTTTGAGGTTTTTTCATCGAAGTTTATTTTTCAGCCTTTGCTTTTAGAAGTTTAGATCACTAAGAACACGTATATAAAAGTTTTATTCACAAATTATTTTTCGTTTGCAAATATGCCGTTTCGCTTATTGGGGCTGTTAGAAGCAGACATCCGGGCCACAACACAGGAAATTCAAAGACTCAGAGAGCAAAAGAGCCTACAACTCCAACTTGAGACATTTCTCAACAGATTTCTGGCTTTCTGCATTCCAGCAGATCAAAAGGCTTCAGCCCAAGCGATCCAACTCCCGCTTCACAAGACAACTCCATCTTGACCCAACAGAACTCCACCACATGCATCTTGCTGATGACAGTGCAGTGCTGTAGACTTCAGTACTTCCGCACATTGTTCCAGTTTGATTCGATCCTCCTGGCTTTGTAAACCTGCCAAATAAGAGAGAAACAGATGAAAAACGCCATCTAAGTAGAATTGATCTTCTTTATCCATCAAAACATATTCCGGGCATCCCAGAGGGCCCAACACACGGCGGCCAATCCCACAATGTGATTTTTTTTTTCTATTTGGTATATAAACATTAGCCCAGATAAAAAAATTGCTCGAAAGAGTTGGAACGACATTGAGCTCCAAACACATAAATATATTATTATGATCCGACCTTAGATCCTTATATTGTGTTTTCACACCCATATTGTGCTACATTTTGCTAGGAATGAGCTCACCATTTATTGGGTGAAGATTTGCTGCCATTATATTGGCAAAAGCAAAGCTTTGCTAGACCAACATCTACTCCAAATGTAACGGTGCGGTGCAACAAAATTTACCTGAGTTTTGTTTTCCAAGCATGCACAGCCTGCAGCCTGAGTTTTGTTTTCAACTCATACAGCACAAATAAGGTATATATAAATTCAGATATCACAGCAAAGGACGAAACAGCTTAGATTACCTGTAGGCTTAAGATGTTTAGAGATCCCAGTGGAAAGGAAGCAACGCATAAAACCATGGTGACTCATGCTATGAAGTTTCGCCAGTTTTTCGAGAACAAGTGCCCTCGTGTTGACACTGAACACCATCTTGACTGCTCCCCTTCTGGTGCGCTTGGATAGCAGGTAAACAACATCATCATCATCAGCGATGCTCAGGGTAGGGTAAGCCATGTGAAGACTCTCCACGGACATGGCTGCCTTCTTCCCCTTAGTCTATTTTCCTCATGTAACTATGCAGGGCCGGTGTCCAGGTGGTTGGAAGTGACGGAGCATCCAGGCTTCCAGCCATCCCATGAAGTGACCGGGATGGGCATGCTCCATGTCTTGACCTTCCAGCTACCATCATCGACCAAGACCTCTAGATGCGAGCTTCGAAATCGCTGGGTGGCCACCCATTCGTGAATTCCATCTCGACGTACTTGATAGTGTCCCTGCTCTGGCTGACGACGATGTCACGGCAATAGTACGGGCAGCGGTTGAGGAACAATGGCCAGTTGACCCTAGCGGGCAATGGCAGCGGCATGTCGCGGAGCTTGGGGCTGTCTTCGAGCACGTCGCAGAGAAGGATGCCTCGCCAGAGATCGACCCAGCCAACTGTGCCTTTGGCACCTCCGAGCGTGATCACCTTGGTAGTCGTATGGAAGATCCTCCTCAGTGCCGAGTCAGGGACGGGGCACACCGTTCTCCTCATCAGTGGCTCCTCCACTGTCAACTGATGGGAGATCCAACTACTCCCCGGCTTTCCATCGGAGGTAGAGCGACACAGGTGAAGCCTGAAGTCGACATGATACCAAGGTTGAAGAACGGCCACAGCGTAGGAGGAGGAGGAGGAGTCGTCGTTGCCGCAGCTCAGGATGGCAATGTTGTCGTCTCCGAAGCCACGGTCACTTGGGCGGCTCGGGAGACGGTAAAGCCTTGCGCCTTCGGAGTGAGGGTGCGCCTTGTAGACGAAGTAGTCGCTGAAACAGTGATGGAATCTGGCGAGGCGATCGACGGGGACGCGGAGGAGGAGGAGGTCGGCGTCCGCGCTGACCACCGTGGGCGCCACGAACTTGTCCGAGGGGTTGGGGGTCCAGATCCGCCAGACCAGGGCAGTAGACGGAGAGGTGCGAGAGGGCTGGCGGGGTGGCGGCGCGCAAGGTCACCGAGATGGTGAGGCCGGTGCTCGTCGTGGAAGTGGCGGTGGTGGCGTCGGGCCGGTGGTCGTCGTCATCGTCGTCGTCGTCGGCGACGTGGCCCCAGAGCTCGAGCAGGACGACGCTTGGGATATCGCCCTTGCCCTCGCCGCTTCCGCTTGCCATGGAGGCAGCAGCGGTGGCCATGCGATGGCCAATCGGAGAAGAAGGCCTTGGCGGCGGATTTTTGGCGGAATTTGGGGGATTCTGCTCTCTCCTTTATTCTCGCCGGGGACATAACTAGGGGGACGAATTCTTTTCAATTGCGGCCACGCAAAAAAAAAAAGCGTGATGGGCCGGTTGCCCGAAAAAGGCTAATGGGAGTTCGGCCCGTTACCAAATTTAGTCCACACGTTTCCAGACTTTCCTTTTCTTTAAAAAAATCACTATCTCGTTTACCGTGCGCACGCTTTTCAAACCGTTAAATTGTGTGTTTTAAAAAAAATTCTACAGAAAAAATGTTTTAAAAAATCAAATTAATCTATATTTAAAAATTTTTAAGCTAATAATTAATTAATCACGTATTAAGAACACAGCCCTACTCTCTTTCTCCTCTTCCTCTCCTTCCTTCCTCTCGCTCTCTGGTCCCGCACGGGCATGGCGCTAGCGCTGCAGCCCACGGCGGTGCGGCCGGCGACGGTGCGGGGGCTCAGGGCGGCGCGAGCTCGCCGGCCTCCCCGCCCCTCTCGTGCGGGCCGGCCATCGGGGCGAGGCAGGAAATGGGCAGCACCCAGGCAAGTGAGATCAAGCTTGTCAACGAGATCAGGCTATATATTGATATTTTCCGTTTCCTACCCCCGGATGATATATATTGCTAGTATATAACATTCCGTTTTGGCTTGTTAACTCATTTGCATCAAAATCTGCCCAGATTCTTTTGGTTGTCAAATTTTGCCTAAAATTAGCTTTGATTTGAGCATGACAAATAGACATACGGATACCTGGATTCTGGGCAACAGGCGAAAGATATAAACCATATAACTGAAGAGATTCTGAAAGTATTTTCATGCCAGCAAGCAAATGATTAGTGATTAAGGTCAACCCTGGAACAGCCAGAATTCGGACAGATGGATTATTAATCCAGGTTCAACGGTTTTATTTCATACCCACTGCTTTATGTACAGATTTCAATTGATTTCACCTCATACTAGGGTTAAGATTATCTCAAACACTCTATCAGCATCTGATTAGAGGCTACTTAATTTGGTTATTTTGGTCCCGTATGAAGTGGGGAAGGGGGAAAAGGCAATTGATAGCAAACAACTCAACAATAGGAGATTTTTATATTCCAGGTAAAAAAAGATGAGATTTTCATGGCACAGAGATGCACAAGAGCTTCGCAGAAATGGTTCCTTATATTAACATAACAGTATTTGTGTAAAAGACAAATTGTAACTATCTTATACAGATTTTCCCATCAAATAGGCTATTGAACAACCAACAAGCGCTCCAGCAAAAACCTACACCAACCAAAAGAACAACATTAAGATCAACAAACATAGTAGTATATGAACAACATGAGCAGATACCAGGAATATGTAACTATTAAAAATCGTCATACACACAGAACTAAAAAAAATGCAATGGACCAACCAAGTGAAAGTCATAGTTTTTTATGTCAGCAAGAAATATTCCACAGTAGCTCATGCAATGTGGACATGTGACCAAATAGTTGAGGAAGCTGGAAGGAACTATGGCTTAAAGGAATACCATAGAATTCAAATGTATCATATGACTTAAAGGAAGTTCAAGAATATATCCAGATTGCAGTCTAAACTTTGTTTTTCATGATGTGAATAACTCAAGGGCATCTAGTATCTTTACTGCACCAACAGAATAGAACAGACATGGTAGAGTTACCTGAAATGGACTGTGTCCAAGAGGTTCCTGTAGCGGTCTGAAGGATGAGATAATTGGATGTTCTGGTGGGAAATCAGAGACTATTTGATTTAGCAACTGCACAAAAGTTTGCAGATATAATCAGAGGATATAAATTAATAGTATAGAAGACCCTGTTCCTCATAAGCACAGAAACCCACAAACTTACAGCAGCTTGGCGACCTGTGTGGAATCGAATTCCTGATGCATCATACATTACCTGTAAGAAGAAAATATAATCTTAGAAACCTTCTCTAAGAAGAACTAACATGTGTATGAATGTACCTATAGCTATCATTTTGAAAAAGAAAAAAAATGTGTTTGAGGAAAAAAAAGAACTTAATTTGTAAGGGAGATATTCAGAGTTCCAGCATAGTTGTAGCTATTAAAAAAGGACCATTTAAAGTACACTAACAAGTACAGATCTTGCAAATGCAGCAGCTCTTAAAATTTTGATATTTTGGTATCAAAAACTTCAAATATGAATATTAAACAGATGGTTCTTTCAGCTAGGTGTCTTGACAGGAAAATTCCACACCCACCCCCAAGGAAGAAGCACTCAAAAGATTATTTAACTGGTATTTAAAACCCTATTATTCCAAAGCAACATAGCATATAAAGGGCAGTGAAACCTACTGTTATTTATCACAAGAATCTAGTTGCCAATGTCTATAGTCCTAACAAAAGGACACTTCAGGATTGCGACTTTCGCTTGTGCTAAAATTGAAATGTATTGAACAAGATTTGTTTAGATACATACAACGGCAGCAAAAACCAATGCCAGCGCGAATGAAGAACTATCTCCGCCTTCTTGTTGACTGACTGCCACGGCCAAACTCCCCACCGTTGCAGAAAGGGATGAAATAATTCCAGCTGAAGTGAGAAACTTTCTTGCATCCCATCTCTTCTCCTTTAACCTGCGTATCTAGGATTAACAAACTACAGCTTAATGGAATAGCAGTCCAAACTCTAAGTTGCAAATGCACTTATTCTGAAAGACAGAGTAACAAGCATACTGATCAGCCAGCCTTAATTTCAGCATGATAATCAACACTCGGTAATGCCAACAAATCTCTAGGACTTTATCCAATGGAAGTAGTAAGCATGGAGTGATTGAGAATTACTTATTGCTATTCATGGTCTAAAACGTATAGTGGTTTTTACTTGGATTTAAATAGGTTTCACCATGGCAATCTAGGAATTCCGGTTGGTCGCACCTCAATTCTCTACTGAACAAAACCAAGCTACCTAGCTACTGATTTGTAACATAGATAACATATTAGCATATAAGTGATTGCTCCCAACCGATATCGAACCAATGAATCCTCCTCCTCCGCACCCTTCCTACCAAAAAATAAGTTCATCCCCAATTCTCCAGACAACGAGCCTATGGTTTCTAAATCGCAAAGCGGCATTCACAGATTCGATGGCGCAAAAACGAAACCCTCATAATCCACCTTTTCGTGAACCTGAGGCAATCGTAAAGTCCCAACAACCTCGCACCGACACCGAGCCATGGGGAGGAGGGGGGGGGGGGATCGCATCGGGACGCGTTAGATCTAGCTGGAGAAGCGAGGAGGACGCACCAGATGGCGAGGAGGTTGAGGAAGTTGGCGAAGGCGAAGGCGATGAGCGCGACGGCGAGGGGGAAGTTCCCGCCGCCGCCGCCTGCGCCGGCACCGGCGCGGCCGGCCAGGTCCACCGTCGCCGCCGCCGCCGCCGCCGCCGTGGACGAGGACGCCCCGGCGCCCCTCGACGCGGTCAACATCTCGCCGCCCCTCATGCCGCCCGCTCGCTCGCCTCTCGCTGTCGCCGGCTCGTTCGTTCGTTGGTGGTGTGTACTGGGGTTGGTCCGTCTCGTGTCGCGTCTCGTCTCGTCTCCCCTTGTATTCTGCGTCTCTGGGTGCTTTGCTTTGCTTTGCTTTGCTAATGCTAGGTGGTGGATTGGATCAGTGGATGCAATTTGGGAAAAATAATACTAGTACTAATAATATTGGTGCTACTAAGTAACAAACTATTTTAGGTAGACAGCGCATTAATTGTGCATACGCGTCATCCGATTATTTTACATTGGTAACAACGAGGGTTAAGTTAGCCCACTTAACAGGGTAAATATATACTAACTCTGTTTTTTCAATGGATAACGTCATTTGATTTCTTTATCATTCGTGAAATTAAAAAAATATGTAATTATAATATACTAGCAAAAGTGCCCGTGCGTTGCACCGGGTGATTACAGAATGTGTATATTGACCAAAAGTGTTGTTTAGTTTAGCAAAAGTGACAGTGCGTTGCACCGGGAAGCTTACATATCAGAAAAATATGCAATTAATTAAAATACAAATTCGTTGAAATATTTGGTATTTTTAAGTAGGTATGTGTATAATTAAATAAATTTACAAGTAAAGCAAGTGTGACAAATAAAATGACATGGTTAAATTTAATTTTATTAAATTCTCCATGATTATTTACGCTCTTTGGAATTTTCATAGCTTAATTGCTAATTTTATTAATACAAACATCATTTAACAATTATTTATTTGGAAAAAGAAAGAAAATACTTGCTTCGAAATAAACATATTCAATATAACTATAATTGTAATGCTTCTGAAAAATGAGCACTAAAAATGAACTTATTCATTTTTTGGCCTGAGGGACCCAAAATAGACTTATTTCCGACCCATGCCGGTCGGCCCACGGCCTTTTGCGCATGCACGGGCGCACTTTTCCTCCCCCAGGCCGCAACCTGGGCTTGAGCTGGAAAAGATGCCTCACTCTCAAACCCTCTTGGGCCGATTTCGGCCCGGACGACACCGGCCGTCCGATCTCTAGGGTTTTGATCGGACGGCCGAGCGTCGATATCGGGGAAACAAAAACCCCTCCCTCTCAGCCGCCGAAACCCTAGCCCATTTCCCTCCCTCCCATCTCACTTCGCCGCCCTCCCCTCCGCGCCCCCGAGTGGCGGCGGCGGTGACGACGGCACCCCTCCCACACCAACCGACGGCGGCGGCGGTGACGACGGCACCCCTCCCACACCAACTCGAAAATCGGCGGCACCCTCCCCCACCACCGACGGCGGATCTAGCGGGAGGGGAGGCGCCCCGCGAGCGGCAGCGACGGCGCCCCTCCTCCCGCGAGCGGCAGCGGCGGCGGCGGAGTCCTCCCCCACCACCGACGACGGCGACGGCGGCGCTCTCACCCACCACCGGAGAGCGCCCTCCGACGCCGCCGCCGGCGGATCTAGCGGGAGGGGAGGCGGCGGCGGCGCTCTCCCCTCCACCGGATCCAACAGGAGGGGAGCCGCCGGCGGCCAGCCGGCCCTGCGGCGACGACGGCGACGGCGGTGGTTCGGCAACGGCGGCAGCGGCGACCCCCCTTCGATCTAATTTTTGATTTTTATTTGGATATATATGTGTACATGCATCATGATTTGTGTGATTGAACTCCGATTGTGATTGTGATTGTGATTTTTTTCCGGGGTTTGATTGGATTCGGATTGGGATATTTTTTGGGGGGAGGCGACGAAGCAGGACGAAAAACCGGTGTGACGACCGGAAAAGTACGAATATTTATATTAGTTATAGATTATAGATATAGATATAGATTTGCTGTGAGTTCTTTTATTAGTATTTTTATATATTTATTTTTTTTAATAAGACGAATAATCAAATATATATATTTAAAAGTCACCAACGTTATCTATTAAAAAAGAGAGAGTATATATTAAGAAGAAATTTATCAGGGCTGGTGTGCAAAATGCACTATCTGTACCTCCTGTTTTATACCTCTGTCAACTCGAAGAATAGTTTGAGTACATTTGACTTCGCCTTGAAGTAAGATCAGGAAGGGTCCTTTACTAATTACTCAGATTACTAAAATTGTGTTTGATGCTGTCATGTGGGCTATACGATCTGCAGAACTCTGGATCCGAAAAAACTGTCAAGGCTAACCTGACAAAATTTTAAAATTGTTGCAGAACGAACATGATGCATATTCTAAAAAGGAGAAGGGCATATGTGCAAAAGAGGAACACATCTGTGTTTATTTATCTGCAAACAATAACACAGTTCCATACCAAATACGCACGATAATACATACTTTAAACAGACTGAGTTTAACGTACATCACGTCACATGGAACATTGGCCGTCCTCTAAAACTGGAATACTACATCACACACAAACAAACTACCAATTGGGGCGCACAAATAAATCTGCAACAACAGATCTAGTAGGAGTACTAGTTAACACAGCCAACAACAGCAGCACCCGTTTTATTCTGAACCCTCTCTGCTTCTGAATCATTTGGTTGCAATGAACAGCCCCCACCTCTGCTCACCGGCAGAGCTCCGCTTCAGCTTCGCGTTCCAGCCGTTCACAATGTCATCGTAGTCCTCCTGATAATATACATGGGAGGACAATTGAGAGAATGCTCACTTGGAGTCATGGAAAAGCATAAGCAGGCGTCAGAGCTGGGAAGCACGAACCTGGGTGAAGTCTGCCATGAAGGCTTCTTTGTTCTTCTCAACTTCAGCAAGCTCCCTTTGAAGAACACGCAGGAACTGAAACATATAGCATGTGGCAGTGATTAGTCTCGAACGAATCGCATTTGTCCAAGCGTCGTAGAAAAAAATGGATTTGGAGGTGCACAACAGTGAGCGGAATTCAGAGAGGTAGGGTGATAACCTGGTCCGTGCGGTCTTCAGCAATGACATGATGGAAACCAGCATCCTCAAGCATCTAGTGTTGTGCAAACAGAAGTCAGAGTGGTTCACCTCTTTTTGTTCAAATCTACCTAACAAGTTAGATTGATTGATATGTTAATGTCACTGCAGAAGCAAACCTTTCCGTAAGTCTTCACATCGTGGAGGTCATAGCCTCTCTGCTTAATGTAAGCAGCAAATTCTTCTGATGGTTTCCCAGGATTCCTACAGTAATCACTGATGAGGACTTTGCCCCCAGGTTTCAGCCACTTGAAGAAACTTCTGAACAAAGCAGGTTTATCCTGTAAAACCATGTATAGCAATCGTAAGACTGTTGCTTCTGTGGTTAACTCAACTACAAAGTTGTAATAGGTAAGTATCCCGTGATCAGCTATGCTGGCGAACAGCTGTTCGTAGTATAATTGTGTTAAGTAGGATACTTGTAGAAACATCTGTAAATTCTCTGAAGTGAAACATACATGTATGTGAAGAATGGTGTCACGGCTGTAGATCACATCAAATGTATTTGGTGCGTAGGTCTTTGTGGTGCAATCAGCTACTTCAAACTCAACCGAACACTTGCGTCCAATGGCACGTTCGATTGCAAATGAAACCATGTTGATTGAAAGATCAATACCAAGAACATGGGCATCGTAGTTTTCAGCCATATAGAAGTCGCCGCCTCCAATTCCGCACCCAACATCAAGCACTTTCTGTCCAGGTTTAAGATCCAGCTTATCCACAAATTCCTTTGTGGTTTCTGTTCATCAATAAGCATGTTTGAATGAGTAAATGTTGACATTTTAATAGAGGCAAGGAAATTGTTCAACTGACCAATTCCACCAGTGCTGACATAACCCTCTCCGAAGACACGCTCATAGCGTAAGATTCCAGTGGTTTTGTACTGCACATTGTCCAGGAATCTTTGGAATCCTCTGTCTTCTGTTGACTTAACCTTTTCCCATAGCCAACATAACTATGGACAATAAGGTTGTAACAGTCAGTATTGTTTGATTGCCAAAGTGCAACAGTGTATGTCACCGAAGGAGATGAGTACCTGATTTTGATTTTTCTTGCTTTTCACATAAGCCCCAATGCACTTGCATGTTTCTAGAGAAAGTTCATAAGAACCCCCATCTTTATCATAGGAATGGCATTCTTTAAATATCTATGTTAAAAAATTAGTTAGTTTCTGGATAGAAATGGGAAGTATGTTTTGCTATCGTCTTATTGACCATAAAATACGAAAAATTATGCAAGTATCACAAAACATACAGTAGCCCTCACTAATTATCTAACAAAATTATAAGCATCCACTACAAATATGCTTCAGTTAAATATATAGGGCAAACAAAGGTTGGAAGTTGTAGAGTTAGCAAAATTTCACTTTTAAGACTGACTGTAATTAAGAAAGAAACTTGAGTTGAAGCTGTAACCTTTGTATAGAACCTTGGCTCCCGGTAATGTGTTGGATTCACCTTCCTTTTGGAATCTCCAGATTGGTGAAAGCATGACTCCCTAAAGAATATATGGCCACCTACCTTCAGCCATTTCACCATTCTTCCTACTAGCTTCTCGACCTACAGTATGCCATAGCAGTTAGAGATCATCATACAATGTACACATGCCATGTATGCCACTTTTTAGTAAAATAATTTTAGCTGGCGATTACTACAAATGCAGAATTCTTTTTTTTAAGAAAAATAGTATCAACATTCATAAACATGTCCCGAGCTTACCTCCTCATCTGAAAGGTACATTAGTAGCCAGTTTGAGAATATGAGATCAATAGAGTTATCTTCGATCGTCAGGTCCGGAGACGTGACATCAGCGCACATAAAGGTTATGTTCTTGTGATGCCCATTTATGTTCTCATTCTACAGAAAGATAAAAGGAGTGAAAACTCATGGAACTATGCATAACCAACAAATTCCATCTGCCAGACATGAAGGTCTTTGAAGTTTGAAGTGAGAAATTTCACCTTCTTAATCACACTTTCAATGAAGTCTAGGGCTAAAACATGGCCAGCTTCTTTTGCCAGTTCCCCAGTAAAGCGTCCTATTCCAGCACCAAGCTCCAGTACTGATTTCCCTTTGTAAGAAGGGAGTACAGACAGGACCTGCGCATCAACAGTGCCAATCAGTCCTGAGCGAAAATTACAGTTACTCCAACAGTAAAGACAGAGCTGCACGACAAACTTTGCATAATTAGCATGATAATAATAATATGAGAGCAGAGTGAAAGCAAAGCATACTCTAAATAGCAATTAGCCCATTGGGGAGCTAAACGACTGGAGTATCCTGAATTCCTGATAGTTAACAATATAAGTGGCAGGTAGAGCCTGAGAACGACAAGCACAACCCAGATATTTTTTTTATTGTGTAGTAGTACACATGCCTGTAACCTCCAATCAAAATTTAATTAACAACCAAAGATATGCTTATCTAATTCCCAGTAGTACTGTCCACTTCTCCCAAGCCCATGACATGCAAAGTTGGCCATCCAACAGAGATTAACCTTTTTCTCATCCATACCAAAATTAGCAAAACTCTGCTAATTCATAGATCTGTGCATAATTACTACTGGCCTCGCCAAAGCAGAAACCAAGAAAATTGCAGGATCACAAAAAGGAAGGGTCGGCATCAGGCTATCTGCATCAAGTCTAGTACTCGTCAGTTCCTATTGATCAATTTGCCAACCTGTATAACCCAGAAACGAATTAGCTCCAATACTGTCACTATCAGCAGTTGCTATCGACTTTATAAGGGCCAAAAGGGCGTATCATTTGTTCACTGTTTAGTACGCGATGGAACGTCCAAAGATATCACCGAATTTTTCAGTATAGCAACATGACAACGTACGAAGACAAGCCAGACAGAATCTTAGCAGCAACGAACGAGATCATGCAAGAGGAATTTGCAAAAAAATAATAATAATCACGAGAGATCTCTGCAGGTTGATCCGGCGGGCACGCATGTATGGGTTCATGGATGGATTCAGTCACCTCGGGGCGCTCCTCCTTGTCGAGGTCGGCGGCGCGGGAGTCGAGCATCATGGCCTCGACGGTGAGGTCCTTGGAGTGCTCCTCCCAGTAGCTCCGCTGCGCCTTCCTCTCCACCTCCCCGATCCCTGCACGCATCCATCCAACCAAAACCAAAACCCCCCATCATCATCAACACACCCCCAATCCCCCTCCACCTCCACAACAAAAACACAAACACAAAAGCACAAAAACATTCGGATCTCTCATCCGCTCGCGCGCGCTTACCATTCGCCGCGACGGCGTCCATCTCGATCGTCTCCTCGTCCTCGTCTAGGGCGTTTTTGAAATTATTATAAGTTTCAGGAAATTGAGAGAGATCTATTCGTTTTTAAGGAAAAAAAAAGGCGTGTGGTTTAGGCGCCCTCGACGGCGCGGCGGGATCGGGAGAAGCCGCGGGAGCGGCGGTTGTGCGCGAGGCCCCTCTGCTGCATCAACCGGCGGATTCCCCCCCGCGATTCGAGGGGAAAAAACGCAACGCCAACCGCGCGAGCAACGGAGAGTGGAGTGGAGTGGAGTAGGCGGAGCGGAACGGGTCGTGTGCGGGCGCGGGTTTTATAGCCGAGGTGAAGAGCGAGACGGGACACGGGAGGCGCTGTGGCGAATCCCCGTGTAGATCGGGTGGGGTCACGGTGCGGCCGCGGGATCGCCTGCTCGGCTCGGTACACGCCGCAGCCGCGCGTTCGCGGCCGCGGTGCCAACTTTTTTTTTTTTCTGTCGCCAACACCGTGCGATTCTGGGGATCGGTGACGACGGCGAGCAGTGGACGGGCGGGGACGATGGAGGGAACAGGGTCAGCTTCGCTGCCTGTTTGGGCGACGACGATATGACGCGGCTCCGTAGCCGTTAGTTGGTTCAGTGGAGTGAAAATATCTTTTTTTTTCCTTCATCGTGATAACTTAGGGAGGATCAGCGGAACATTTGCGATAATTCATCAGAATTCATTCATATATGGACGAAAAATTCAAAACATAGGCGGCCCACCTACAACGGAGCACAGACACCATCACCTGCAATCCCATCGTATAAGCTTCCAGGTGATGGTGTCAATGATATACAATGGAATTGATGTACTGGCTACAATTCATAGAAGCCACCTAAACAAGTAATATTCAAGCAAGTAATATGGACATATGTTGGGCACCATCAATATACAAATTCTTCGTATGGCTTGTTATATAAAATAGGGACTAGATGGTGGACATGCTAGATAAAAGAGGCACGATGATACAAAATGATGGCACACTGTAGGTTCTCGCAGAGAATTTGGGCACCACTATAACAATGGGTGGGTACTCCAGATCAACCGGTGGGATACTTGCGATACGGTGGAGCAACAGTGGCAGTGTGTCCTGGACACCTCTCACATTTCAAAATAGTCACTTAAGTCATATTCATCCTCGTTGTCTATGAAATTTTGGTGTGAGTAGAACGCATGAATCTTTTGACACATCACCGTAACTCGTACAACCATAATTGCGAAATTCAAAGAGGAGACTAGGAGTTGGGTCAAAAGGAAACGTCTAAGCTCCAATAGTTCCAGGCCTTGGGAGGGATCACTGGTCAGCCAGGGACTTCCACACGCCCATGTACGTACTTTAATTTTGTTTACTCCCTTTTTATCAATAAATTGCTAAGCTTTTGCCTTCTTTCAAAAATAAAATATCTTAGGAAGGATGATACATTGATACAATCAGCAAGCGAAATACACACTGAATCGAGAGGGTTTAGAACAGCTGCCTTAGGAGCAGGTGTAACATGTGATTTAAGGCCCTATTTGTTTTAGCTTAAGATTATTATAATCTAGATTATTAAATCAGATTACTCTAAGCTGTATTATAATAAGCTAACATAAAATAAGTTGCGAGTTGTTTGTTTCTCTGGATTATTGAAGGCATCTAAGGGTAGTGGCTCTTTAGCCACCCAATAATCTGAAAAAAGCTTCTTCAGAGGAGATTATTAGATTATATTAATCTGGCTTACAGATTATAATAATATATCATAATAATCTATTTGTTTGTTTCAGCTTACTCATAATAATCCAGATTATAATAATCCTCAGCTGAATCAAACAGCGCCTAAGTCGGCTATAATATAATACGTTCGCCATGTAAAAAAAAAACTTAGTTGGAGGAGAGAATCAAGCAGAGAAAATTTTGAGCTGGCGACTTTACCGCCGGCTTTAAACAGCTCCAAGACAAGGTGAAGCAACTGTTAATTTTAGCCCGTCTCAGATATATTATTATGTTGAAAGACCAATATGACCTCCATTAAGACTGTATATTTCTTCAAAGTTTATATGCTCAGTTAGACTTTTGATTTGTGTAAGCTTTAATTAATATGTTTGAACGATTTGAGGCGATGGGAAGCTATATCTAACCAAAAGAACGTGAATAATAAACTCTAAGAGAGGATACTAAAAGTCTGGCCTTAAAATAAAGTATTTATGAGACAAATCCTTCCATCTAAAAATGAAGTTTTCGGAGGCCGGAGGAAGTGCACAATTAAGATGGAATAGTCAGAGCATAAGTCCGGAACACGTGGCTGGAACATACATGGACAATATTGGTGTTTGGTAGGACGAGTGATATTGTGCTGGGTGAAGGCTGACGTGGAGGTAAATAATTGGGATGGTGGATTCCCCGGTCCCAGATGATTGATACTTTCGTCTGGTTGTATTACATTACTTCAACGTTGAGAATCACAAAGTTTATCATTTCTTTATAAAGAAAATGCAACGTTTGTTGTTACATTCAGAAAAATGAAAAACGGAGAATACACACAGAAATACGTCATCATCAGGCCAGCATCAAATCAATTGTGTCATGATGCTGCAGGTCTAGCGTACGCAGCGACCAGTCGCCGGCAAGATTGAGTTCCTCAGTCGATTGTGGGTCCACATGTTAATGATAAAAGCACGATGTGATAAAAGGATGATGCAATCGACTGCACAGGACCTTGATTCCTGGCCGCAGAATCTTTGTGTCGCTTGAGTGCCATGTATACATATATGCTGTTCGTATTGTGTTTCTCGAGCCTTTGTTTTCTTTTAATTTTTAAAAGGAATTCCAAGCTTTAGCTCATGTTGCAGAAGAAAATTTCACCAGTAAAGATTCATTCCCATGTGCCTCCTACAAGGCCTACAGTGGCCTGGAAAAACTTTGGGACAGTTTAGCCATATAGGTGGGGAGGAGCTTTTCACGGGGGCGAAAGGCCGACCACTGCTTAAAGATTCTTCAGTTTGTTGCTTACTCAAGAGACGACAATTTCATGCGGTACATATGGTGAATTATTGTGATATGCACGGCAACATCAGCTTCAATTAAAACACAAGGGAAAAGAATGGCATGCAGTACAATCTGCCAGTGTCACTACGCAAATTTCAACAACAAACTTCGGCCACATAATGTTCGAGAAGTCAACAGAAATTTAACAACTCAGATGACACGGCAGAGGAGTAAACACCATGATGGAGGAAAGCTTTAAAAGATTCAAGAAACACAGAGAACACAATCTTATGGAGTGAAACAGGCTTCTTTGGAACAAAGGAATTTCATAGGAATTGGTTCATTCCTCCTAAATTCCTTCGCTTCCAAGGAGGCTTAAATGGAGTATCATGCATGAGCAGTTTAGAATAATTGTTCAACCAGCCATTTTGGTTTGTAATCATGTCATACTATTTATTGACATATAACTGATGCTACACAGGCCACTAATTTCTTTACAAGGGTTGCTTGCCAGCCCCGTGTGGCGAGGCCAATACACAAAATCAATTACACGAGTGACATACAAGTAAGGCCAGGCACAATGCATAATATAATCACACGAAAATCGCATTTGCTAGGACACGATATGCTCTTCTTCTATGCAACCTACAGAAGTTGGGTGCCACCAAATGGGTTGGCTTGCTGATGCCCGTTGTTCGCCATTGGGAATGGGCCAAAACCAGAATCCAAAAATGGGTTTGTTGCAGGGCCCATGCCCACATGCTGCGGTTGCATTGGTGGTCCAAAGGGATTCGCTTGCATCATAGTTGGTATCTGTTGATGCTGCTGAGACATGGCAGCCATTTGAACCGATGGTGGAGGAGCAACTTGGTTCGACATTACGAAAGGATCATTTGACATGAACGGGTTGGGAGCTGAAGAACCATATAACTGCTGTTGCTGTCTCTGCCTGTAGTCCCCCTGGTCATATAGGCTTTCCAAGATGAGCTTGTCAAACCCACCACCCTGTAGACACAGAATAATCCCATTTAATTCTCAATTGGAAACAATTGACAACCAAAATTGGCCAAAAACAAACATGAGTAGAAGGACCTCCAAAGAAGTTAAAAGGTTAACCAGGAATGCTGTACTACTGTTTAGCAATAAAGCAACTAACTTGGGCAACCATAATGCCATTCTATTTTGACATAATCATCGTCAGCCTCCTCTGTTTTCCGCTAAGTACCTCTAGCTAGTGTTAAAGGGTATAGAAGGTTAGGCGTACCAAACAGTTATGCAGGGGAGCCATGCACTCTTAAGAAAAGAAGAAATGCACAAGGTTGGCTAAAGAAGATAAATTCTGCGTATGAAAGACCGTAGACAAGCTATGGCTGTCATAACTTGCTTGCATAGTGAAGGCACAGCAAGACATAGATTGATTTAATCATGTGGCTTTGCACAAAATAATTGCAGTGCAAAAGCATCAACTAAAATCGCAAATCATGTCCAAAAGCAATTGCATGATATATGTGATAGTTAGACCTAATGAATCCTCAAGTGATTGAAAATGCAGTGAGCAATGTTTGACCCACTGCACAACCAAGCTTATTTTACATCGCTACAGAAGAGAAAAGGTGGCATAAGTTGATTTCCTCCAAAAATATTTCCTAACTTCCTTGTCAAATATTTCCCGACTTGCTTGTTGCCAGTCTTTTGACCGTTGACCCAAATCCAAATGCATTCGCTCGGTAACAGGAGGGCGTGGATTAACATAATAAAATACAAATGGAAGATTTCTGATATCACCGATTGCCAGGACTAGCCACAACAAATAAAAATACCATAAAAAGCAATAAGAGTGAAGAAACCAACCAGTTGACTATCTGCAGCAGATGAATTCGTGTTACTTGGAGTGGTAACAAGGGCGAGTTCCCACCCTGTTGGATCAAATCCTTTATCTTGCCATGTAGCGGTGCTGGATGTTGAAGCACCAGCATCTAATAGAGATGACAAAATAAAGAGAAAAACAGAACATCAATAACTTTAACCCTATTGACAATCACCAAGAATTCAAGACATGTTCATAAAACAAAAGTACCTGCTGGAACAATGGCCAAAGCCAGAGCGTTGCTTTCTTCTATCGCTGATACACTAGGGTTCGGATCATTTAATCCCTATGGAGTAAACAAAATTTAGATTGAAAAATTAAAGCATTGAATAACAGCATTCTTTACTTTACTTACCAGTAGATCACCAGTATCTGCCACCTTAGTCTTGGGAGGAGGAGGAGGTGAAACAGCTTCAGTAACAGGTGGTACTGGAACAGGTTCTTCAACAGGTGGTTTTTCCTCTTCG